TTTTAAATTTGTCGATAAATTATGGTAGATAATAAATTGCACCACTTTAATTTGAATTATCTCAAATATGGGGGGCCTGGAGGCGGGTGAGGCACCAGGAAAAACTAACTTTTTTTCGAAAACTTCAATTTAAATTCTGTTTGCGCCGAACTTGTTTATTTAATGTCATTATAAACTATAATAAATTTGGTGTTTGAAAAGATAATAAATTGGAAACTCTCCCACCACTGCCCTCTAGAGCTACAATACCTGAACTATTTGTAAATTGCAGACATCTGTACAAACGCTATTTGCAAATGTCAATGTCAATCATAATTATTGATGTCGATCATAATTTTTGAATTATTAAATATATTTTTGCGCCTTAAAAGTGATAAAACGTGTTAATGGTAGTGAAATGTATTGTTGTTGGGAGCGGAAATGTAACCAATTTGTAAGTATTGACTATCCTGCCGTTCTAAGCCAAACCTAAAAATATGACCGAAATAGTATATTACACTACAAGGGCAAAAAGTGTGAGATTTCTGCACTGCGCAGTTCAGGGCTCTCACACTTTCTGCCCGTGTAGTGTATACTATTTTTCTTGCTATGTGTATAAAAAAAACTTGTGTCAAAATTAAAATCTGACGTTTAATTTAATTCTGACGTTTACATTCAAAATCAATCAAACTGCTACATGGTAGCGGGAGGAAATGAAACTTTTCTTACTACCTCGGCCGAAAATACGTATAGCTTGACCAATGCATAAAACGTAAACTTTCTGCCGTGGAATCGGGGACGAAACAACGTATTTTCTGCCAGGTAGCAAGAAAATAATATTTATTGTCTCTAGGGTCGGTAAACTCATATCGTCCCTAGGGCCGCTAAACTTGATTTTTGTAGTTTTTCACAATCTAGACACCTTTGACTGACATTTATTTATTTTGGCATTTCACATTTTGACATTTGAGATTTTCAGACGTTTGTGTAAATCAAAATAAAAACGGAAAACAAAAGTATAAAATAACAATAAAACCTAATTTAAATTTTGTAATAAAGTGAAAATGAATGGTAACTCGGACAGTGACGAAAAATTTACGAATACTTGACCAGATTTAAAAAAGAGTGGGACCAGAAAATTTCACGAAATCACCGATTTTGAAAATAATCACATTATTGTGTAGTAGGCATGACTCATATGTCACAGTAAAAAAATTATTTTAAAATTCGTTTTTTTGGTAATGTTATTAAGGTTGACAATTTTGTCAAACTTTAGAGCACGGTAAAATTGAAAAAATAGAATCTCTGGAACCACTATGTATAATTGAATTAAATTTTACACATTATTGTAGAAATGTTTAGACTATATAATGATCATTTAATTAAGGTTAATTTGTTTAAATAAAATAATTTTGCAAACATTTATTATAAACAATTGAAATTTTGTATGTGTTCTTCACGGTGAAAAAAAATTAATCTTGTGTCATAATATGCGGCAAACGTTCCCGTTTAATAAAATGTACTCAAAAATTTGTCCTTCATATTCCGGAGATATTAAATTTTTTGTCCCGCTGTGCGCTTGATCAGTACGCGGCGCGCTTCGCTGCTAGCTCGTCGTCAGGACACGGTGTGCCTGAACGAAGTTTAAGTCGCATAAAAATTCCGCAGTTTCTTGTTCGGGACTCTTTGGTGACTTAAAAATAATATTTACCAAAATCCTAGCTGCTCCTTTTTTCGAAACATTTTGAAAAATCTTTTTTATGGATTATGCGTTTTACTATATAAAAAAGTGATTTTTGTCTAACCCTGTATAAATCTAATGATGTGCTCAGTATAAAAACAGTTTCTCTCATTTACAATATCGGTGTACAAATGTGTACTCTGGCAAAGGTAGACTTTGCGATAAACAAATAATTTAAAAAAAATGAGCGTTATTTTATTAAATTTTATTACAAATCTATTTTTCTTGTAAAATGTTAATAAAAATGCAATTTTGTAACCTGATAGACGTAGAAATATCAAAAAAAAAATTGGGGATAAATATTTTTCGCGTGTTATGCTATAAGTAATCATGAATTTACGCTTTTGCATTATTAAAAATAAGTGATTTTTGGCTAACCCTGTATATACCAAATGATGTAAACAATATTAAAAAGTATTCTCTAAGTCTCCTAAATAATTTACTCTAATTTTATAAAATCGGTGTGCAAATGTGTACTCTGTCAAAGAGATAAACAAAAATTTAAAAAAATAATCATGAATTTTCGAACAATTTTGAAAAGAGTAGCAGCTAGAACTTTGGTAAATATCATTTTTAAGTCACCAAAGGGTCCCGAACAAGAAACTACAATCAGTTTTTGGCGGCATTTTTATGTGACTTAAACTTCGTTCAGGCACACCGTTAAAACGTTAGAACGGACGAGCTAGAAACGAAGCGCGCCGCGTACTGATCAAGCGCACAGCGGGACAAAAAAATTAATATCTCCGGAATGACATAGGAAAGACAAATTTTTGAGTACATCTTATTAAACGAAAACGTTTGCCGCATATTATGACACAAGATTAATTTTTTTTCAGCGTGAAGAACACATACAAAATTTCAATTGTTTATAATAAATGTATGCAAAATTATTTTATTTAAACAAATTAACCTTAATTAAATGATCATTATATAGTCTAAACATTTCTACAATAGTGCGTAAAATTTAATTCAATTATACATAGTGGTTCCAGAGATTCTATTTTTTCAATTTTACCGTGCTCTAAAGTTTGACAAAATTGTCAACCTTAATAACATTACCAAAAAAAACGAATTTTAAAACAATTTTTTTACTGTGACATATGAGTCATGCCTACTACACAATAATGTGATTATTTTCAAAATCGGTGATTTCGTGAAATTTTCTGGTCCCACTTGACGTGGTTTGCAATGGTACGAAAAGTGCTATGAATTATTTAAAAACTGGAAAAAGGATCAAAAAGCCAAAAACTTAACAGAAAATGTATTAGTTGCTTATCTATCGGAAAGATCAAAGATAATTCTAATGAAACATCAACTTCATCTGTAGAAATAAGCCTTCAAATTCTGGTACTATCCACAATTGTGCTCAAGGCATAATTAACATTAATTACAACAATAAATAATTTCGTAAATTGTTACTAAAGTTTTTTATAAAATTTAGATTATACATATTAATAAAATTAAAAAAAAATAATTTGTTTGTTGCTAGGCGAAAAACAGATGTGTGTCACACATTCAGAAAACGCATTAGCAACCCTTAGCTATCAACAGTTGATAATATCAACAGTTGATAATCAACTGCCCTCGCTTCGCTCGCTCGGGCATTTAATAGCCGCGGGCTGCTTAAGCTAGTTTTCTGCCCTTGAGACACAATATACTATATTTAAAATACAGCAGTAAATACAATATATAAAGGCACCCTACTAAGCATCAACATTCAAATATGGCGCCAATAAATGTTACAAAAATCTACATCAATTTTTGGCATTACTAAGGGTATTGTAGACCTAGGTGGCGTTAATTTACTTTAGCCTTTTGCCGCTAGCGCTAGTGCCATTTCCAATCTATGGGGTGTTTTATCTTTGGGTCCCATGTCTAATAACTGAGATATTGGTATACATAAAATCCACCAGTATATATACTAATACTATTAGTATTAGTATATATACTATAGTATATATACTATATATGAGTACATTTTTAAAAATATATATTTTATCCTATTTATGTACATTACTGCACTGCCTACAGCATACCTAAGTAAACCAGATGTATAAGTTAGTATTTGTAGAATAAAATACATTTAAAAACTTAACGCAGATGCAAAACTGGGTATTTGTTTCTTCCTGTCGGATGCAAAACTCGGTATTTGCTGTTGACCAATCACGTCGCTAGTATACGCATTACGTGACGACCTAACAATCACCTGATTAATTGTTATTTTTTGGTATTTGCACTTTTCACTTGCAAAACTTGGTCTTTGAACGAGGAAGATGCAAAACTATGTTTTTAAATCTTTTGATTACAATTATTTACTAAAATACCTAATTTTAAAAGATTTTTTCTTACTTTTTTGAAAAAAAATTATGCAAAAGCACGTCTATACAATTTTTGCATTTTTTTTTAAATGATCTTATGAGCGGTTTTTCATGTTTTTCTTAAAATCCTGCAAATACAGAGTTGTGCATCTAATGTACTCATATACCTGTATATACTATACTATAGTTTTCTCGAAAGAAAAATTAAAATTCTTATCTACTTCTTTTATTTAGAAAAATATATTTAGGGGTCCTGAATGATATTTTGACTTAGCCAGCACCACTACATTTTCGACCAAAGTATTATTTTCACCCATAAGGTGTAAGAGTTACAGCAATTATTAACACTCTTACATATTTTAAAACCAAAAAATAAACTTACATTTGTCAACAAACTTGACAGGGTCTCCTGGACTAGATGGACTTCCTGGACCACCTGGACTACCTGGATTCACTGGACTTACTGGGCCTCCAGGGCATCCAGGTAAACCAGATACTTAACATTTTTGCTATACACGTATTTTTATTGCTATGCATATTATCCAAAATTAATTGTATTATTATTAAAAAAGTCATATTAATCTTATAGCATTGACCCTATTTCTTCACTCAACGCTTATAGTTGTATTGAACAGGCCCAGGGCCCAAACTTTTTTAATAAATAAATATTCATATTTCATGCTTTCATATACATATACGAGCCCAAAATCATATCGTTTGGTCAAGACAATATTTTATATTTTACATTATTTCAGGCACTATTGGTAAACGAAAATATAAAATCTATTGAATCCAACTATTATTATAATAATAGTTGGATTCAATAGATTTTTCTTTTGTGTTTAGTAAACACTGTTTACCAATATTGTCTGAAATAATGTAAAAAATAAAATATTGTTTGGGTCAAATGATATGATTCTGGGCTCGTATTGGTATTATCTTCTAAAAAATAAAAATTCCAGGATTGTCAGGGCCTATGGGAATGCCCGGGGTTCCAGGACTTCCAGGGAGAAAGGGAGAGCCTGGGCGTCCAGGTATTCCAGGCGAAAAAGGTGCTAAAGGAGATCTAGGAATCGCAGCCTAGGACTTTTTTAAAGGAGCTTCTGGCAAAAAACGCTAAAAAATCATTATAGTTCATCCAAATAAAAGGTTTTTTATGTTGTTTTTTTTTTAAGAATTAATTATTATATCTAACCCTCAAATAACCGCAAATAATCGCAGATAAGAACATTGATATTTAAAAAGGTAGATAAATCAATATGACAAATATTTAATATTATATTATATTCAGAAAATAGGAGATGTTAAACTGACAAAAACATAATCTCAGTTATCTGAAAAAAATTACTAACAATTAATTACTTTATTATTTAATTGTATTTAAACTAAAAATTGCATGTTTTGTGTAAAAAATTCGCATTTTTCACTTAATTGAATTTTGAGGGTCTTTCGTCTAACAAAAAAGTTAAAAAAAATATATTGTCAAAATTCTAAAAATCAATATTAGGTAAATAAAAAAAATCCGCGGGGCCAAACCAAAAAAAAATTATTTGCTGGAATAACCCATATATCCAAGTATCCTTCTTTGTATGGGTATCTTTTTTATTTAAAGAGCTACAAAGTCGGTTAAATTAGACAAAAGTTGCGTAATTACAGGTCTATTAAAATGGTATTTAAAAATTGGAAAAAAAACAGCGGTTTACAAATAGTTTAAAAAAAAACTGAAAACCTGTCAATCCAAAAATCTTTATAACTTCGTTATTCCTGGGAATTAAAAAAATGGTATTTAAAAATTGGAAAAAAAATCAGCGGTTCACAAATAATTTAAAAAAACTGAAAACCTGTCAATCCAAAAATCTTTATACCTAACTTCGTTATTCCTGGGAATTAAAAAAAAAAATTAAGTTTTATATGTAAACATACATTTTTTTGCCTACTATAATGCATCTAACAATGTAAAATTCCAATATAGCGGCCGTAGGCAAAACAAAAGAAGGTCTATAGATAGATTTTAAGATACCACCACCTTCTTTTGTTTTGCCTACGGCCGCTATATTGGAATTTTACATTGTTAGATGCAGTGGCGGCTGGTCAGGTACGGCACGGCCGTACCATCGAAAATCAGGAAGAAAGGGATTTTTAGTTTTTCCTAAAAAGCTTGTCAGATTTTATAATTTGCAAGTTGAACTAAGCGCCCAAAACTATTATAATATTTGAATAAAAAACGTTTTTTATTCAAAGATTATTATGTATGTAGGCCACTAACAATACACCGTCTATTATAAACATGGGCCCCGTGACGTGGGGCTGGCCGCTAGCTGCAGCTAGCTCTTTTGTTGTGAATCAAGTCATAACGTACGATTTTAACTTAACGCTGTTCTAAAATCATGAGACCAAGCTACCGGGAAGTCGAACGTATAGCCTGTCTAGTTTATCGTTTTGTATGTAGGTACGGCCGACACGTCATTAGCCCAAAAGTTACAAAACCAAAATTATTATTTCATTAATACCGAAATAAATAGGCACAAATAAAAACATTAATGACTTGATTATGATTCAAATTTAATTATTAAACAATCCCATATAGGTACCTATGTATAATAAAGATTATTATTTTAGTTTCATTACATTTTTTATTTTTTGTCATAAATACATTAGTTACATTAATTTTAAATTCATTCCCTTATTTGTCAAATTAAAAATTAATCTATGATTAAAATTTAATCATTAAATAAGGTAAATATAGGTACCTATAGGTATACATATGGTCAAAAACGTTACATTGAACCCCACACAGAAAAAACGCTAGCATATCATGAATGGGTGAGCCATTAAACCAATGGGATCTTGTAATCCGTATTCCTGAATAAGAGTTCCTATAATACCAATAGGTAGTTAGCACTTGGTTTATAATCGTTTACTGTTTTTAAATTAACAACAAAAGTTATCGCTCCTAAATCTATTCATATTCATATTGATATTTATTTGTTAGAATGGTAGAATTTTATTGCATTAAATACTAATTTGATTTATTTAATAACGTTACTATTGTATGTATTCTATGTATACATTTAACGCAATAAATTCTTTGACATTTAGGCAAAATATTTCCATATTTTGGTTTAATAGTAATTAATTGAGCAAATAACAATTTAGATTGCTTCAATTTTAATGCATTCAATGACAGCGCTGTTCTTGGTACTATGTTAGATTTTTTTCTGTGCATTTTTTTACTTGAAATTTTCGAAAACACGGAGAATTCGATATTTTAAATATTTTATATGTATGTCACTAAAAGAATCCCTTTCAAGCAACATTTTTCATAATGATACAAATTTTCGTATCTCTCGTTATTTCGGAGTGATAAACCCAAACAGATAATGCCCAGTAAACACACATACGTTAATAAAACGTTTTTTTTAACCCGTAACACCATTTTGTTTTTACGTATATTTTTAACGTACAATCAACTTTAAAATGTCGCAGATTATAACGTTTAACAATACTAATAAATAAACGTTTAATTTGGGCGTTAAGAAAACGATCATTACACGTTTCGAAATGTTATATTTAAAACGTTTAATATACGTCTATAAATAACGTAAATTAAAGATTGTTTTTGCCTCATTTATAACGTTTATCTAAACGTTATATTTAAATTCATATTAATGTCCTTTCTAACGTTAGTTCTATAATAAATAAAACTCCACAAATTTGTTTTTACAACGTATTTATTAAACGTTCGTTTAACGTTAACTGCAACATGATTACAGGGTGTTTAAAGGTTGTAGACAATGATTTTTTTAAATGAAGGAAAGGTTTTGGAGGTATCTCCAGTCGTCTTTAGGTGAATCATTTTTATCGTTCGCTGGAAAATTTAGCTGCTTCTAAAACACAAAAAAAAAAATTGTTAAACGATGAAAAATAGACTAATTTTTCGAAAAACCCTATCAGTTATTATTATTATAATGGACTCTTTCCACAATTTTAACATCTGTGCATTTATGACTATTGTGTTTAATCTAAATCAGTTTAATGTTAACTTAATGTTAATTTAACTTAAATGTTAATTTGTGTGAGTTAATATTTACCTACCCCACAATACTTAATAAACATTGAAAATACGTAGGAAACGTCTTTATAATTAACATATTAACTCTCATATTATTAAAAAAAGCTGGCCAAAAGCCGAAAATTTTTATGAATAATTGTGATGTTTGTGTATGTAAAATGGTAAATGGACCTATTCTACGTATTAAACTACAAGGAAAATTAGGTAGCTTCGGTACTCGCATCTGTAGGTCAGTTACAACTAAGCTCCGCCAGAGTAAGTATTTCGACGCGCCATATGTGTTAAAATAACTACAAGAGTAATTCACTGCAAACAAATTATCGCGGTGTCAGTTTCCAAATCGGTGTGACGGAGGGTGATCCTAAAGGTATGTAAAATAATCTCACACTTGTAAATCCTAAATTAAGATATTTTATGAGATATAAAAATGACATTGAATAAGCAACTGCACGGAAAAAAATCTATACTGATTCCAAGAAAATTCAACTCTATCCAAGTATAGCTTATAAGCTACTACTATAGTTTCCCTATTCCGCAAGTAAATTTATACTTGTTTCAAGTATCCTCATATTCTTATAAAATAAAGATAGCTTCGGTTTAATCTAAGATTACTGCTATACTAAAAATAAGAAACACACTAATTTTGAGATAAGTATACAAATTTGTCTTCAATGAAGACTACGGTATTCTTGTTTTAAGAATATACTTTCTTTAAAATTTATTTATTTATACTTATTGTAAGTACACACTTTACTTGCATAAAATTCTTGTATTCTTACTTTTCCTTTTTTTATATTTGATAAAAGTATAGTATATATTTAAAATAACTTTACACTATTCTTAAAAAAAAGTGGTTGATTAGAAAAAAAAATTCCCTCGTCTAGCGACTCGAAATAATTTTTACAAAAAAAACATTCGTGACCCTGAAAAATATTTGTATTAATTATCCTACCACTACGGAAAGTGAAAGTGAAAATATAATCGTTATGACAGTAATTTAACAGTATTTTTGGCATATTATTTTAATTATTTTAATGTACTAAAGTACTAATAAGTATAAAAGGCACTGATATCACCTAACAGTCTTAGAGGTATTAGAAAAAGTACTGTCAATTTATAAAAATTCATTCTTTCACGGTTAATTAACATAGATACTATATTTTACATTTTATTTTTTTAAGTACCTAGGTATCACATTTTTGGTGCTATATGTAAAGGTAAGGTTTTTAATCACAATAGTTATTATTTTTTTAAGTAGGTATTTTTATTGTCAGTAAAATTTATCTCCAGCTAAATAATTTGTAAAATGAGTCTCTAAGAAGGCTACCATTATCATCGTAGATGGTTTGGTGTTAATTCTTCAATTTTTTCTCTACACTTGATCCTCAATCCTATTTTGGGAATTAATTCCTTTAAATTCTCCTCGCTTAGGTTTACCATAATATCGAGATCTAGCTCGTTTTCTAAAACAAAAATAATATAGCTGAATTGGAGGCTATAGCCTTTCTGCTGTTTATGTGCTATTGTCTATTACCTGTCTTATGCTATCCATTTTACACTAAAGTATACCTATCCATTTTACACTACATTTTTACGATCATGCCTAGTTAATTACTTTAAATTAATATAAATAAATATTATTTACTTACCCAAAAATGTGTCTAGTAAACATTCTAAGCCCCAATTTTTAAGTTTCTTCTCCATTATTTTTTATTAAAAATAACATCCAGACCGAAAAAAGAAAAAAACGAACTGCCGGCGCCGACACGTACACACGCTACCACCATAGAACACAGGACAGAACTGAACACAGAAACTGCGTCTTTTCTTTTAGCGAAGCGGTCTTAGAGGGTGGACGGTATTTACTTAAGCGAAGAATTAGGTATTTGTTTTAATAATAGCTATACTTAAATAAAGTATAGTGTATTCTTTGTTCTAGAGGTCTTATACTTAAATTGAAGTATAAGCGTTCTTGTATTAAATATACATATATTTAAATAAAGTATACCGAA